TTTTATGTGTCACTGTTTAATCTTGATTTTGATAAACCGTAATTGGATAATTATGCATGCCTTACGGGCGAAGCATTTGAAACATGTTATTTTATACCACCATAACCAATGACGTATTACCATATAGGGTTTTCTACAAAAATAAAATAATTTGAATGGTTAATAGTAGACAGGGAAGCTATTGCTACTTTTAAATAATATTCATTTTATGAAATGATTGATTTTTGACGCAGTGATTTCAGATGTGATTATGATTTCGTCATAGACAAAGATAAATGGCATTAAAAATCAAGCCAAATTCTTTTTATCAAAGATTATGACCGTTTTTTTAATAATTATAATTAAGGAGCAGTGGTTTCGTAAATCAGACAGGTGCGAAGAAATGATTTATAAATCATATGATTTATCACGTGCGGTTGTGATTTAGGATATCTAATAATAATTGAGTTAAGTATTTGTTATGCAATGCAATAAAAAGTTCAAGGTCATTGTTCATGAATTCGAGATCTACCATAGTCTAACCGCTGAAGGTCATCTCTCGTATTAAAAACTAGTTTAAAAATAAGTACCAATCTTCTTTCGATGTCACATTCATAAAAGATATTATTTATTTTGTGAGATCGAAAGCAGACCGGAACTGAATTTTGAACAATTTTTTATTACGGCGACTATGATTGCTTACAGGTTTACGCACAGAAATAAAACACACATTTTTAAATCACGCTGCATACTATTTTACACTTGTAACCTGTGGCCTTTAAATGTTTTTTACACGAATAAAGAAATAGAAATATGGTGATTCTAGACTAGACACGACTAAGATAATTTGTTTATCATGCCTCTATCGGGTTGTTTCTTCGGAGTGATGTTAAAAGGCATTATACTTTGAATTCATTTTCAAAATGCAACACCTTTCCTGTCTCTTTCCTGCATTATGTGGGAGTCATTTCGGGATAAGAGTCGGAAGTGAGTAGGTACAGAAAACCAACAAAGTAGCGAGCGTTATTTAATAATAATAATAATAAAGCTTTATTGGAAACTAGAACAAAGGAAACAGTAACATTTTATGCGAAAGTGTCTGCATTAGTTAAAAGAACTGTGTCGCAGACATTAACGCCACCTCCGGCCTGGGGCCGTCAGAGTTCCATTAATAAAAAAAAATTCATTAATATTTAATTTATTAATATTTGATTTGACTAATGCGCTTATCATGCTGGAGTTGGCCGTCAGATAATAGGTGCTAGGTGAGATGTCAGATGCTAGACAACATTTGCGTAAATCATATGATTTCTAATTTACAAAACGATGTCGTTGTAAACTGACGCATTTGTTTTGAATTTTTGCATACATTGCCCTCGATCGAGTGATCCACAAATAGTTGATCAAAGCCTAGGTATTATTTGTGTTCGTTCTTTTCATGTTTATTAACTCCTCAGAGATACGGGAATTGTAATACCCTGTGCGGGTGTTATCCTTTTAAAAATATTGTTCTTCTGCACATATGTACACATGTGCATAAACATACACGTGTGAATAAAGAAATCAAAATTACCATTTTATTTTTACCATAATAAAACCTAATACAATACATACATCATCATCAACAGCCTTTAATAGTCCACTACTGGACATAGGCCTCCCCTTGTAAATGACGGCATGACGGGTTGGTATAGGGTTGTGTCAAGTTTTCCTTCTCTTTGCAGTGCTGTTGTGCTGCGTAGTTTGCTCCCTTAGTCGGCTCTTACGACACTCACGGGATGAATGGGGGTGGGCAAATCCGTATTCTTCATCTATTACCACACGGATACATACATACGTACAATAAATGCTTAAAACTAAGATGTCTTCACTAAAATTGCTTCTGGATTCTATATACTTATTTTAGGTTATTTTTAGCAATATATCCGTACCTTCTGATCTAGTTACGCATGAGTATTAAGGTATATCACCAAACCACACCAAAACCGTTGGACCCATGTTGGTGCCTAGATGGATAAGCTAAACAATTGGTTCCAAAAGTTGGTGTTGCAATCGGTTTCTAGGGTTTTTATTTCACTTTTTTCTGTGTGTGGAATGTAGGCGACTTTGATGTAAGGTATAAGTTTCTTATTGGTTTCATTAAAATGTATGTATGTGTCCGTGTGGTGACGGATTAAGAATACAGAGTGTCACCACCCCTATTCATCCCGTGGGTGTCGTAAGAGCCGACTAAGGAAGCAAACTACGCAGAATAACAGCACTGCAGAGAGAAGGAAAACTTCAAACCCTTTTTTTTTTTTACGTGTGGAAATCCCCTCGGACCGTCACCCCGCCGGGGCTCTCGTTCGGCGGGGCGGTGTGTCGGACTCGGACCGACTAAAACCACACGGTGTGCCCTCTTTGCGCTTCCAGTTTAGGAGGGGTCCAGGTAGTTATCGCCTTCTGGACCCCTCCCAGCGCCGGCACGCTCCTGATGCGGGCTCCGTCTCAGTGGACCCTCTCTTTAGGCGACGTCCGGCACACGCGGACGCCGCCCCCTCGCGGCTGGCCAACTAATGCGGGTGGAGGGGAGAACCCATCCCGTCCACTCTCGGCCACACTCAGGGCGGCATGAGGCGCAGGTAAGCGCGCCTCCGCCCACCAAACTTCAAACCCTATACCAACCCGTCTTGCCAGCGAGGTATAGTAGGCCAAAACCTCCTTTCTAAGGAGAGGCCTATGTCAAGTAGTGGAGTATTAACGGCTGTTGATGTGAAAATGTATGTAAGTGTCTTTATATTTTAATGTACAAGAATATCAATGACATAGATACTCGAATGGTTACCGGTCAAACAACTTCTATTTATGTACTCAAGCTTATTACATTTTATTGTGAGGAATCTTTTACAAATCATCACTTAACGACTGTAGTCGGAAACAAACTAAATATATTTTAACGGGATTCCGTGGCGCATAAGTCGGCTTTTTTTTCTTGCAAAGAACCATGGGTAAACTAAGAAAAAACTTAAGGCTTAAGTATTCCCGTTAACCCCTCCAGCTAAGCTAAATTGCTTGTATTAAGAGTGGGTTCACGTTGGTACTGGTCAGGATTCGAACCCACGACCTCTTGATTGCAAGTCAAATGCCTTAACCTCAAAGCCTTGTCACCGCTGATCGCTGAAACACGTGCAAATTGCAGGATACCATGTCAAAAACCTGTCAATATCATCATCACCTTAGCGCTTTCCTAGTACTAGATATTTTTAAGGTATAGGGGTCAAATAAGCAGACGGCTCACCTGATGGTAAGTGACTACCGCCGTCACGGACACCTGCAACTCAAGGGTCATAAATGCGTTGCCGCCCTCAGGATTTTGGGTGTTTGGGCTTTGGTTACCTGTCACTTGGTGAAAAACAACGAAGAAAAAAACACTAGCACTCCGGGAGTGCCGACAGAAGTGAAAACTTATCTAGAGAGGTGTCGGTAATGGTAACAGTGTCGCGAGTTCATTTGTTTTTTCCCATTTAAAAAAATGCCCAACGCGCCTCAAGAAGTTTTCACTTCAACAGAGGTGTCGGTAACGGTAATAGTGTCGCGAGTACAATGGTTCTTTCCCATCTCAAAAATGTGTTTTTTGTTAAACCACAAAACATTTTTTTTGTTTGTTGTTCATAAATGCCCAACGCGCCTAAAGAAGTTTTACTTCCAAAATTGCTTAAGACCAGTTTTCTGCCGTTGTATCACTCCGCTCAAGCCAGCTCACGTGTACTGAAGCATCGTTCTCCCACGTCTTAAATTTGGATCTATAAACAGTATCATCTGAATTCGTCATGGAAAATTTATCTACACAATACGCCTTCATTCATACTGTATCAAGAGAATAATGAGATATTCTGATCAAAGACAGACTTTGTTCATCAAAAATGTATGACATGTATTAGCCATCTTTATTTTAATTTGTTCTTTATATCAGACTAGCTTTTACCCGCAGCCTCGCCCAGGTGTATGTCGGTTATCACGGTATATATCCCTATCTCCTTCCTTAAGAATCAAACTATCTCCGTAGCAAATTTCATCTTAACTTAGATGAAATTTGCTACGGAGATCAAAGACAGACTTTGTTCATCAAAAATGTATGACATGTATTAGCCATCTTTATTTTAATCTGTTCTATATGTCAAACTAGCTTTTACCCGCGGCCTCGCTCACGTGTATGTCGGTTATCACGGTATATATCCCTATCTCCTTCCTTAAGAATCAAACTATCTCCATAGCAATTTTCATCTAAGTTAGTTCACCGGTTATTGATTCCTTATACACACTTCCACCCCCTTTTTCACCCCATTAAAGGATGATTTCTGGGATAAAAACTATCCTATGTCCTTTCCCGGGGCTCAAACTATCTTCACATCAAATTTCATCTAAATCGGTTGAGCGGTTTAAGCGTGAAGAGGTAACAGTCGGACAGACACACTATCGCGTTTAATATTAGTATGGAAATATGGATTATCTTAACTAGGGACATTATTATACCGCCGTATGGAACGATGCTGTTTACATTTTGGGTGAATTTGCATAATTACACCACATTAGTAAACATGTTCGTAGTGCTAACGTTTCTAGTTTTTGCCTAGTTTGACTGCACAGATGGCGTAGTGGTTTAAGGGTCCCATCCCCACATGGAACGACACTTTGTGTAATCCCCAAATTGTTGTTCTGAGTCTGGGTGTTCTTTGTGTCCTCCGCGACAGAGGATATATTCCTAATACGGGAATTGTCTTAAAAAAAAAATGCTTGTCGAAAGCATTGCGTGTCTCCATAGGCGAATTATGTATCAAGAGCGCCCTAGGCAAGCATAACGGCACGGATGGCGTACTGGTTTAAGCAGTTACCTCGCCGCGTTGTGGGTTCGATCCCCACATGATCGTGTCCGTTTCATGTATGTTTGTAAAGTCCCCCGTGACACAGGATATATTACTAATAATAATAAAATAAGTTGTCCTTAGATCCAATGTTTTAATTTAATTTCTTTCCAGGCCAACATGCAGCCTTCGTCAAGTACTGAACGCACTCCCCTGGTACAGCCCACGTACGTGTTCGAATCAAGTCTCGCAAGACGCTATCAGAAGCGATTACACCATATGCAATGTGCAATATGTGTGTTTCTCATGTAAGTAACATTTCAATAATTGTGCCATTATCATTAACAGCCTTTAATGGTCCACTGGACATGGGCCTCTCCTTAGACAGGAGGTTTTGGCCTACTATACCATGCTGGCCGGACGAATTAGTATGCCCAACCCCCTCGCGGCCCTCGTCATTATTCTGAAGGGTACACAAACTTTCTATATCGATAGAAAATAAAAACCATTAGTTACAAATAAGTCTTCCTATATTTTTAATCAACGTATTTTGTCCTCAGAGCGATCCTTGCTGTAGCACTACTAGTCACCATCTCCTACAACCTTAGCGAAAACATAGATGACACTCCTGAAGAGACTACCACAGTACAAACACCTAACAGCCTAACGTTGTTAGGAATGTCCCTAGGCTCTATACCCGGCGATACAGTGCCTGGGAAGACCCTTAAGAAAATGCCCCCGCCATTACAACAGCTATCGAATAAAAAATGGCCTATTCCAGGTAAGTCTCATTCTTCATTTGATCAAATAAATTTCTTTTTACTAAGACTAAGGGTTTGTTTCAAATTTTTCATCTCTTTGGAGTGCTGTTTTTGTGCGTTGTTTGATTACTTAGTCGGCTCTTACGACATCCACGGAATGAATAGGGGTGTGATACTTCGTATTAGAGTTGTGTAGCTCCTGAGTGAGTGATATAAAAGATATATATCATTCACGACGATAAAATCTATCACTCACTCACACTTGCTCCGAATACATCAGTAACTCACTAGATCACTAGATCACTAGCTCAACGACGCCGATCTTTGTTTCATGAGCGAGTGAGACTAAAGATAAATGAGTGAGATAGATGATGGTTGAGTTCACGCAAGTTTCTTTATGCAAAATGTACATTATTTTTATAGGATCAAAGTACAAGGAACATCAAATTATGTATGATTTCTATTATACACCCTAAAAAAAAGTACAAGAAATAATTTCTTATTTTTAATCTATACTAATATTATAAAGCTAAAGAGTTTGTTTGTTTGTTTGTTTGTTTGTTTGTTTGTTTGTTTGAACGCGCTAATCTCAGGAACTACTGGTCCGATTTGAAAAATTCTTTCAGTGTTAGATAGTCCATTTATCGAGGAAGGCTATAGGCTATTTATCATCACGCTAAGACCAATAGGAGCGGAGCACCAATGAAGAATGTTTCAAAAACGGAGACAATTTATTACTATTGAGAGACGCAGACGAAGTTGCGCGGGTCAGCTAGTTATTATATAAAAGGCTGTTAATATTTATGTTATCTTATCAAAATGAATAATTTTGTATTAAAAAAAAATAGGTTAAAAATGTTGTTTAAAAAACTGCATTTAGGTTTATAAGAAAATAAAGAAAGATTTGTAAGGCGAGAGAGGCTTGAAGTGAGTGATATACAAGTATACTGAGCTAATCGATCTAGATGAAGAAATGATTTAATTGAGAGACCAATCAATTGAATCGGATCAATGAGCTAGTGAGCTAAAGGAGTTAGTGAGCTAAATGAGCTAGTGAGCTAGATGAGTGATATATATCTTTAGAGCGAAATGATATGTATCAATCTTTTCAGCTCAGTGATACATTTTGCGCATCACTACTTCGTATGAATCTTAGACCTTAACATGACCGATTATTATTGTTTTTAAAATTATGATCAATTGATGTCCCTGTCCCAAAACCTCCTTTCTAAGGAGAGGCCTATGTCCAGCAGTGGACTATTAAAGGCAGTTGATGTAATGTTCCTGACCTGGTGGCCTCTTAAATCACAGCGCAGACATAATAGACAGACGGGTACAGGACTCCGGCTTCTTCCAGCTATTCTAATACTCGCAGTATCCCTTACTGTCTCTTCACCCAATTCGCTTTCCTTACTCTCATTTACTTATTCATAGTCCCTTCTAAAATCGATTACATTCTCAAAATAGGTTGGCATCAAGCAAGCCGCTGGCCTTTGCATGTTAAACGTTGCGCCGACCCCAAATATAAGTGACAAAACGGCATGAAGATGATGATGACCTTCCTTCTTCCGTTACCTGACCTCTAGTCAGAAAATAATCTGCTTCTCTTATGTCCCTCCCACAATTCCGACTTCGTCAGCTCTTCGTTCTTTGTTCAAGCAGTACTACTCTGGAATGCGAACCAGCTCGAAATCAGGATGTCCAGTAACCGTTTTATATTCAACAGGAAGGTCTCCTTCACAATAAAATGGCAGATCTACCCAGTCCATAGTACACCTTATATTCCGGTATACATGTGTACGAATATAATATGTATATTTATAAAGATATATATATATGTATGTTTGTGATGTGATGTGTCGTATATATGTATATGTGTAGGTATGTATTCGTATAGGTATGTATGTATATGTGTAGGTATGTATTCGTATAGGTATTTATGTATATGTGTAGGTATGTATTCGTATAGGTATGTATGTACTGAACCGTGCATATATTTATAGATTACATGCCATAATATGTAACTTCTTATATGATTTTTGATGTTTTTTTTTTAAATGTATGTAATTTTATAGGCTGTTCTACATCACGTTACCACCGCTATTAGCCAAGCAGTGACCATAAACAAGGCCCAAAATGCGGCAAGCGACTTTTGTTAAAGTTTTGTAATATTTTACTTGTACTGTTAAATAAAACTATTTTCAATTGCCTTTCAGACCGCTATCCTCCTATGTGGGCTAATGAACCGACTGAAGAAGAAATCGCATCAGCTGTACTTAAAGGTAAAGAGGCACTCAAAGAGCTGATGGATATTGAAAAGTCGAGAAAACCACTGCCACAGAATACACCAGCGATTAGGGCACAGAAAGCTGCGGCCACGAAGGCTGATGTGAAACCTATGGCAAATGATGCTTATGTTGTTGAAGTTGCTACCAGAGCCTTGACTGGCGGGTAAGTTTATACTTAGATAAACTTTTTTTATGTTAGAGGGGGCAGACGAGCAGACGGGTCACCTGATGGAAAGTGACCATCGCCGCCCATGAACGTCTGCAACTCAGGAGTCACAAACGCGTTGCCGGCCTTTTAGGAAGGAGTACGCTCTTTTCTTGAAGGTTTGAAGGTCGTATCGGTCCGGAAATACCGCAGATGATAACCCGTTCCACAGATTGGTTAAAAATTTAATTAATTTAAGTATAAGTTGAATGTATATTTGTTTATAGAAAAATTATTTAGGTACAAATAATACCAGTATTATGAATGAATTAATAAAATAAAGGGAACAAAAATAGTAAAAGATACCTTTACCATCCACCTCCTATGGTCCGTGTGGTGACGGATTAAGAATACGGAGTGTCACCACCTCTATTCATCCCTTGGGTGTCGTAAGAGACGACTAAGGGAGCAAACTAAGCAGGACAACAGCACTGCAAAGAGAAGGAAAACTTGAAACAAACCCTATACCAACCCGTCTGGCCAGCGTGGTATAGTAGGCCAAAACCTCCTTTCTAAGGAGAGGCCTATGTCCAGCAGTGGACTAGTATAGGCTGTTGATGATGATGACCATGGAAACAAATTCATGGTTCAAATTCACATATTATGAAATAATACTTTCTTATGAAGGTTTTTATGGTCTTGTACCATTACCCCTCTTTCCTCCCACAGAATCAGAGAGAAGGGTATGATACCCCTCAGGTCGAGGCGACCTAAATGTGCATGGCTCTCCCACGGTTTCTGCGCCAAACAGGACCTTTCATGCTCATAAAATATAGTTGAATAAACTAACCAATAAACCGTCTATATTCATATTTAAAATAAATAATACCACAATATCAAGGCCGACTAGTCGCTTAGCGTGGTTCACGAACCTGACCTGCGACTGTACCTATATTTAAATACCTATTAATATTTCTGTGCGTTAAAAACCGACACAAAAAAATGGTCTGAGAACGATTATATTAATGAAAATAATTGGATACATCTCACACATGGCCGTCTTATCCCAAACTAAGCACAGCCTGTACTAGCGTAACCAGACTGCTGATACATATACATACTTATATATTACTAAATACATAAGAATTTGAAAAGCGCTGCCTTAGTGGTGTAATACGGTACGCGACTGTAGTAGTCCATGAGTGTAGCCTCGGGTTTGATTCCTGGACCGTTTTTCTGAGAGTAAAAGTTACTTCTTATATAGGCAGTAACCTGGTAGAAAAATATTATCAAAATCGATCCAGCCGTTTTGAAGATTATACGAAACATACAGACAGACAAAAAATATTGAAACTGGTTTTTGGGCAAAGGTATTGTGTAAATAACAGTGTAAGCATGAAAAAAAAAACCATATTATTTTGACTTCACACAACACAACACAACAGACACTTCAATTTTATTTATTTGTATAGATGTCTAGTTTTAGGTTTTTGTCAACAATTAGTGACAGGATTTTAGATGACCCCGGTGTTAAGCAATTCTTTCACTGCTTTTTAACGAATGAGTGTAGTTAACTATTATTTATTTAATTATTCAATGTGTACCATAAAATATATCTTATACAATGTTAATTTCACATCACATCAACAGCCTTTAATAGTCCACTGTTGGGCATAGATATCTCCTTAGAAAGGAGCTTTTGGCCTACTATACCACGCGTATAGTAGGCCAAAACGCTTGTCACGTTAGTATATCAATAAATAATTCAATTTAGAAAGTCGCTTGGTCCCTCTATAGGGCCCATTTAATAGATACACGCTCAAACGCTCAATTCATCCGTCCAACTAGATCTGCTCAATTGGAGACAGATCTTTATGGACTGACAATTGTTACATAGATGAGACCTAAATTAATCTTAGAACTCAATGATTCGTCTTTATCGACTTTTTTTTAATATGATTTATGAATATATGTCAATTTAATAACTGGTGGCTCTCTGCTAAGGGGTAACAAAGTATGTAGCACATTGCAAAGTTAAGCGCTCCTAGCCAGGTCAGTCTATGGATGGGTGAGCATTCGTAAGCCATTGAGACCCCTCCGTGCCTCGTTCATGAGGTGACCATTTTTCGTTCGTTCCATCAGGTGACCCGTCTGCTCGTCTGCCCCCTCGAACATAAAAAGAAGCTGGCCCGTGAGGCCAGCCTGTTTCTTCGACTGGAATGCGACGATATCATGCTCAATTGTTTTAAACCTTATTCTTTAGGTACTCATTAATTTTCAACCTTTAGAGCTGGTATTATTTCTATAAATTTGAAATCTCATGGGCAGTATATCCTTCCTAAAAAAATCTTAATCGGTTCATTAAAAACTGAGTTCTAAGATTACAAAAATAAATAAACTTTTCTGAGGTTAGTTAAATATAAAATGTAGTAAAGGAATTGAGATAGGAAATCTTATTTCGCACGTTGAAATCTATACTAATATTATAAAGCTGAAGGGTTTGTTTGTTTGTTTGTTTGAACGCGCTAATCTCAGGAACCACTGGTCCGATTTGAAAAATTCTTTAAGTGTTAGATAGCCCATTTATCGAGGAAGGCTATAGGCTATATATCATCACGCTAAGACCAATAGGAGCGGAGCACCAATGAAGAATGTTTTAAAAACGGAGAAAATTTATTACTATTGAGAGACAGACGAAGTTGCGCGGGTCAGCTAGTTATCAATAAAAAGCCACTGTCTAAACGTAGGTAGGTATTCATATCATGGTTCCTATGAGTGGACAACATACTATCCAAATCACCGGTAGGTTAAAAGAGTTAATTAAAAAACAAATCACAGTGAATAGAAGATCTGATAAAAATGGAAAAGCTTGAATTAAACAATTTATCAGGATTGTAATAAACGGTGTTCTACCTTATAAGACCACCTGCCCTGGAATAGAATAGGGCGTGTTTATTGTTATTTGTACAGGCTTCACTCAAAATTGAGGCACTCTTATGTAATATAATTAATCGTAACTAAAGTAGCGTGTGTTGTTAGAATTAGGACAGACAGCTGTCGGTCTAAGTGTAACAAGATATCGGTAATAAAACCGCGTAACAGAATACTGGCGTTGGTTTGGCTTCTCAACACCTCAGTGAACACGATCAATGTACTCTACCCAAATTAATAAGTACTTATACAGAGTTTTACTGGAAAGAGTTAGAAATTTTAAGAAGCGTTCAGTGTAAAGGACTACCAAAAAAATTGATAATTCTGTTGTTTTAAAACTCTATAAACTAAACTAAAAATCACTAAAAATATATAGAGTCCTGTTAAATACCACGTTTTCAGAATAGGAATCGTTGTTTGACAGGACTAAGCTAAGTTTGAGTGATTTTTAGTTTAGTTTAGAGAGTTTTAGAACAACAGAATTAGCACCATTGAAAACAAATTTGTATGTGCATATTTTTACAACACAACATATCTTGTCGTTTTAAATGTTAAAATTTATTTATTTTTTGTGCAGACATTTTCGATATTCTGCAAACATTAGTACATTATTTTTGAAATAATATTATTATAGTGTCAGAGTAATAAAGAAGGGAAAATTAGAGCAGTTAAAAGTAAATAATTATTATGGGGAAAGGACCAGGAAGTATGTAGTACCAAAGTTATGTAATAAATATCAAATACTAAGGGAGAACAAGAAAATAAAATGTAAGTTTAAACTAAAACTAAGACTGAAAGAAATGTTTGGATATGGCAATAAATTAAAACGTGTACATAAATAGGGACGCAGGTACCCAGGAAATAGTCATGTTACACATAGCTATGTATTGAATTTATTTTGTTTTTTTAGTTAGTACACCGTTGTAGTAGTAATTTAAAAACTAGCATTTAAGTACTAATATATAAATCAACTTCTTACACGTCTCCAAACCATAACCACGCCCTTTTGAGACAGATTACTCAAAATAAATTATAATAGTTTACTTATTTGTTACGTGGATGATCCTGTAACGGCTGACTCCTCACTCTACCTAACATTTTTTCAATCACCATTTCGCTATATTGAACATGTGTATGTAAAACTTAACCATACTCCGGGTACCATAGGGGTTGGCTGAACCGGATGCATGGGCAGTAATTGGGATCCGGTTACATCACTTACACGGTGAAAAGCAACGAGAACCGGAGTCATGGGCATTTATTAGGCTCCGGTTACATCACTTTTCACCGAGATAAGCAACGAAACAATAGCTTAACACCGGTTTCTGCGAGACCGTGGCTTCACTCGGCAGAGCTGACCTAGTTGTGCCGAAACATGGCTCTCCCACTGTTAATAAATGAGGTTTTTTTTAGGTATTTACGAATTAGTATCTAAGTATAACTGTTTGTAATCCCGACTTGTAAAAATATCTGAAAAGATTTACATGCAGGAATAAATATCATTTAATTTCCTTTGGAGTTTGGATTCCCTTTCTGGATACAAAGTACCCATAAGTTAAGTTTAAGGTGTGTATTGCTTAGGTCCAGAAAGCGCTGTTTCAATTCCAATATCATTATTAATTTCAGCAAAGACATTTCTCAAGCCGATGGTGGTATTGGCCAAGGTCCTCGTCTGAATGGTTCCTTCACCTTACCTCACTACTGCATGGAGAAGCCAGAGCCTTGCAAACTATCCAGGTACCGTACTGTGGATGGCACTTGCAATAACTTGGATAATCCACTTAAGTGGGGAGTGTCCAAGACACCATTTAGAAGAGTTTTGCCAGCTGATTATGGTGATGGTGAGTTAGATTTTTTTTAATTAAAAAAAATATGCTATCGGAATGTTGATCTGCACGTATCTGATTGCAGTGTTCTTTATAAATCCTAATGGATTTGAAGTTTAAACTAATGTTAATAAGGTTTATTTTGGATTTTCCATGGATCATTCCTTTATTCTAGTTCTTAAACAATTTTTTACCTATTAGGTAAAATTCATGAAAGATCTTCACATGATGTTTTGACCATCTATTTTGGTGTTTACTAAATTACGGACTGAGTATAATATCTATGTAAAGTATTGTGTAATTATTTAGCTGGATGTATCATCAATCCCGAAAATCCCTTCGGATCTCCTGCTCTTAGGGGCTCAGGAGCCAGGAGTATGTGGTGATTCCACTAAAAAAAACTCCCCCAACGGCCGGACTCAGGTGTCCTACTCTGAGGAGGACCCGGACCATGTTATTTCAGGTCCTCCCCGAATTGACACCATGCCTAATCAGGCCATATCCCAGATCAGGCCACCATTACATCCCCTACCGCAGCAATCAATCTGCCACCACAAGTCCTTACTCTCTGCCGCCCCGCGACCCCGTCGACGGCTGGTATCGCCGCCGACGTCCTCTACGGCCCCCTCCCGATCCCGTTCAGCGGTCTCTTTTTGGAGCATTACAGATTCACAGAAAGAGACCATTGCGCCCCATAAGTTTTAAAATGCCTACAAATCTGCCGAATGAATTAAACATAAATTCATTTTAGTTCCTATTTTCTCCAAATTGTCTGTATTCTGAATCACTCCCACTTCTCTTGTTTTATTTATACATCGCTCTATTTCAGGTGTAAGTTCCCCCCGTGTCGGGGTAGATGGAGCGCCTTTACCGAGCGCTCGTGACGTCAGCGTCACGGTACACAGGGCGAGCTACGTTCACGACTCATCATTCACCGTAATGCTTGCCGTGTGGGGACAGTTCTTGGACCACGACATCACTGCAACTGCTCTCAGTAAAGGTATATGCTGTATACCATGAACGTAGGACCTCACCTTAAGCACAAATGAATAGTCTTGTCTGGCCTGTTGATCTATTCAGCCAGAGGTCGTTAGTTCGATTCGCACCGAGAACAAAGACTTGTGGGATAATACGATCGTTTATTCTGTGTTTATGTGTAAAATGTCAATAAGATGTGCAATATGTATTTAGAATAATATAAATATTTATTTACTTATTTATTGGACACACAGTAGTTGTTACATTATTTACTAAAATCTAAAGCATGCATCCATTATATTGAGATTAATGCACAACATTTTAAGGTGTCACATCATGCATAATGGAGTAACACTATATGAAACGAAAGATAGAAAAACATGTCGGCGAGTTTTGAACAAACATAAAACAACCAAACACACTACAAATAACAAGCTTATTTCTTTTAAATAATTTTAACTACCTAAGACCACTTGACCAGAAACTTATTTATAACTTTTTTCATCAGCAGTCTGTTTACCACAGGATCTTTTTTTTATGGAATAGGGGGCAAAGGAGCAATATATTAAATCTGCCTAGTCAGAGCAGATGGCCGTATGATCTTCAGACTCCTCTTTCCCGCTGGGCATTTTGGGCACGTGCCCAGGCCCCTCGATCGACAGGAGCCCGATTCTTGACAGATTACCAATCGAAAATTAATATTTATCACCAAAAAACATAATTATTTCGAAAAATCCATTAGTAATTACTGCTACAATACTTTTTTTGTCCATTCTAACAACATAGTGCTCAGCTAATTTCGTAGGGACCCCATTATGCTAATTTGCCCAGGGCCTCCAACAGCCTAGAGACAGGCCTGATCATCTTTCAGGTTATCTATAAGCTCACTTGGTCCTCAAAAGGAGGACATGTCTTGGAGCTTGGCAAGTTCTCCATAAGACCTAGGCATTGGAACAAGCAACCAGCATCAGAAATAACTTATTCTGACTGGCACCTGACCTTTCAAAAATAGTTGGTTTAATCTTTTACATATTATGTTATTTTTAGTGACTTTGTATTCTTTTAAGACCAACTCTTTTAATATTATATGTGCATATAAATTTTCAGTTATTATTTCCGATATTCAAATAAATATAATATTCATTGGTATCATCATCATCATCAACAGCCTATACTAGTCCACTGCTGGACATAGGCCTATCCTTAGAAAAGAGGTTTTGGCCTACTTTACCACGTATGGCCAGACGGGTTGGTATAGGGTTTGTTTCAAGGTTTCCTTCTCTTTGCAGTGCTGTTGTTTTGCACAGTTTGCACCCTTAGTCGGCTCTTACGACACCCACGGGATGAACAAGGGTGGTGACATTCCGTATTCGTAATCCGTCACCACACAGGCACATTTGTATGTAACATTAGCTGGTAAGCGCGACTTCGTTCGCTTGGATTTTGAAATACGCTGCCTTAGTGGGCTCGATGCCCGGACCGGGCAAAATTTTAAAGGGTTTTCCTGATATGAAAAATAGCTTATTCCTTATGTAGACAGCTACCTGGTAGTGAAATCGGTCCAGCCGTTTAGAAGATTACCCGGAACAAACAGATAGACAAAAAAATTTAAACTGGTTTTTAGGCATAGGTATCGTGCCAATAACCGTGTGGGCATGAAAAAACCCTATAATTTTGGCATTACGAACAGACACTTCAATTTTATTTATTTGTATAGATTGGTATGAGGTGTTTACCTATAATTATTTGGTATTATTATTATTATGTTTTTCAATAGTAAAAATGGACATTGGTGAAACTGATCGATAAGTAATAATAAAAGTTTTAATTTATTATGTTACAATTATGTAACATTTTATTCTAAATATAAATAAATAAAATATATAAACCCCATCAATATCACCAGGTTCGAACGGCTCTGCCCTGTCCTGCTGCGACTCATCACAACAGAAGCACCCAGAATGTTTCCCAGTGCAGTTGGACGTAGGAGACCCCTTCTACGAGGGCTACAACATCACTTGTATGGAGTTCGTGCGGTCTGCTCCGGCCACTACCTGCCATTTTGGTGAGTCAAACGTTATGTAACTAATAAACTAGACAACATTTAAAACAAAGTTATAAGACGCCAGCTAAGTTTATACACCTATCGCTAATAATTTTTTGTCTCATCAACAGCCTTTAATAGTCCACTGCTGGACATAAGCCTCTCCTTAGAAAAGGAGGTTTTGGCCTACTATACCACGCTGGCCAGACGTGTTGGTATAGAGTTTGTGTAAGTTTTCCTTCTCTCTGCAGTGCTGTTGTCCTGCGTAGTTTTCTCCCTTAGTCGCCTCTTACGGCACCCACGAGATGAATAGGGGTGGTGACACTCTGTAGTCTTAAACCGTCACCACACGGTCTGTTCTGTCTATCTCCCAATATTTGTGTCAATTACTCATTTTTCTCTTTTTCTTGTCTGAAAAACTGGTTTAACAAAAGGAAGGACAAAAGGAAGGAAGATTATTTTCCAACTTCAGCAATTTATTTCAAGATTATTACATTACTTGCTAATTCCACGGCAATTTGATGTAATCAGCACTATCTTTACTCCTGTTTTTATCCTGAGTGTCGCAGTCTTCCTACAGAGGTATCATAGTCAAATTTTATTATTAAGTAGAATGTAGAAGGAGTTAAAAAGACTCGCAGGAAGAAGCAAAAGGCTAGCAAGGAAGCTGCCACACCACAAGCACTGGCAGTTGTGAGGAAACCGCTAAAAGCAGCAGCCGTAGTAGTCACAGTACGTAGTGCCGCAGCCGTAGTAGAATTCTGGAGTTCCCGGGTGCAAAAGGAGCTAAAACGGCAAACCTATTGGCAGAAAAGCCTCCCCATTCAGTATTGGAGTTGATCAGACAAAGGATATGATCTACTAGAATGGAAATACTACTCAGAGAAGAATAAATGATAATATAGGTATAGGAATAGGTGATATTTTTTTAATTATTTTTTTTATTTAAAAAGACATCTCCCGCATTAGAAATAAATCCTGGGTCGCGGGGGATTTTACAAACATACATGAAACGGACACAAAGAACACCCAGACTCAGAACAACAATTTGTGGATCACACAAGTGTCGTCCCATGTGGGGTTTGAACCCACAACACTCGGTGTAGTAGGAAGCGGCCTGGCGACCGCTTAAACCACTACGCCATCCATGCAGTCAAATTACAAATGGTTTCTTATAAAAACTAACAAATAATATTAGTACCACACAAAAAACACAAAACAACACATATTCATAGTGTCACTCTCACAATAAAAACAAACCTAGCAACACTTCCCAAGCTAAAACCCATCAAGCCGTTTAGACTACCAGCGTGCCAAAAAAATATACATACATACACTTAATAATAATAATAATAACCCCCCCGGGGGACCACCTTGGCGTGGTGGGGGGGCTTACGGGAAGGCATGAACTTAGTACACGGTCATTAAGAACTTGACTATACCCTGTAACAGGAGGTACAATCATTATAACGAAAAGCCAACAACAGCTTGGCTTGACCCTTTCTAACTAACGGTCCCAAACCCAGAAGAAGAAACATGGTCTTAACAAGAAGCAGTACGAAACGGCCCCAAGTGCCCGGCGGACCCAGTACCAGTCATGGTGACGACGATAGCCAGCCTGGGACTGAGCCCAGGGGTGCAAAGAATCTCCGGGTGGGAAGAAGAACTCGTCAAACGACTCTAGCTATCCATGAGGACTCCGATAACTCAAGCGATACCCCATTGACTCCATCAGCATTTCATTCATTCGAATCACCTCCTTCATCCTTTATTATCTTATAAGTCTTCAACGTCATCAATTACTGAATCAACTTTGGCTGAGGATGTTGTGCAGGGGGCACATGCCGTTACACCTGCATCCGCCTCAGGCACAAACCGTACGCGAAAGAGATGGTCTCAAGAAATTAACGAATTCATCTGGCGCACGTATCTCATAGCTACAAAATTAAATACTAGCAAAGTATACCTTAACCACCTACACCACGAATTCACACAAACATACCCACACATGCAGGCATCTAAACAAAGACTGGGAGATCAATGCCGAGCTATAATTAGAAACAAACTTCTACCTCAACAGGTATTAGACAATATTAAAGATGAAGTTTCTACTTATCTACAACAAACACAACATACACAAACCAATTACATGATACCGCCATTTACAAGTACGCGGGCGCACGATTCAAATAAGCAAACACAGAGAAGAAGATGGACAACTGAATATAACGAATCAATTATTAAAAACTACTACAAAATCACACAATTAGGATCAAATAGAACAGCCTATCGTAAACCACTTTATCAAGCAGTTATTGCAGAACACCCTGATTTGTCAGGAGTTAGCGAACAAAGGATATCCGATCAACTCAGAGTAATCCTAAAAAACAAACTAATTAGTGAACAACGACAGCAGGAAATACGTAACGAGATAGCAGGTACCCCTGATCTTCAAAATACTGATCAAGAATACTGCATTACACAAACACAATACATAACACAAACAGCTGAATCACAACAAGAAATAAACAGCATGGAGACAGATTTATTCATCCAACCAGTGCTATCACAAAATTGCAAATCCACATCTTTAGAGCCTAATAAAATTGAAGAACAATTTAAGACTGCTGTACTTAAATTCAGATATAGTGACCCAACGACTAGACCATATATACCAAAACAAAAAATATCTACGAAACTCACAAAAATAGTCCATTTCATTGACACCGAAATACTGCCAAACCACATTTCCCTTGAACAAGATTTTTTAATGACTCGACTTGACTTGACGATTGACTTGACTTTTAATAACTTACACGGCAGCTACCTGCAATGGATCTAAAATTAAAGATAATATCACACCTGTTACTCAAAATCAAGCAAAAAATACCGCCCTGGCAGAAAAGGTTACAAAATAAAATACAAAAGTTAAGGAAAGATATTGGAAGGATGACAGAATATATAAGAGGAAATAGCAGCGATAGAGTTAGAAGATTAGTTGAAATAATAAAAGATAAACATCAAATCCATTCACAGCATGAAGAACCTAATCTAAGTAACGAACATTTCCTCGATACTCTCAAACAAAAACTGAATGCAGCTACAAGTAGATTAAAAAGATATATAAACTGTACACTCAGAAAAACACAAAACAACGAATTCACTAACAATGAAAAACATTTTTATAGACATTTAGCTTCAAACACAACACAATATACAAATAAAAATATGGAAGATTCAGTAACAGCACCGGTTGATGAACTGCATAACTTCTGGTCCAATATTTGGTCAAAACCTATACTTCATAATTCACAAGCTGAATGGCTTCAGAACAATACCTCCCTAACATACTCTATTAGTCATATGGATTTTGAACAAATTCCTGTAGAAATATTCATAAATGTATTGAAAAAACTGCACAACTGGAAGGCACCCGGCAGCGATCATATTCACAACTACTGGTATAAGAAATTTACATCTGTTCATCCTCTCCTACATAAACACATTAGCACTTTCATTGAGACACCAGACGTAATGCCACATTATATAACTGAAGGCCTCACCTACATGATTCCAAAAGACACAGACTACCAGAATCCAGCTAAATATCGCCCTATCACATGTTTACAAACAATATATAAAATAATTACAGCATGCATTGCGGAAATAATTCATCAACACGCCATCGAAAACAGCATCCTTGCAGAAGAACAGAAGGGATGCCGTAAAAATAGTCAAGGTTGCAAAGAACAGCTAGTAATAGACTCAGTGGCAATGAAACTAGCAATTTCGAAAAAGAAAAATATAAGTACCATGTACATAGACTATATGAAAGCTTTTGATTCTGTCCCACATAGCTGGCTACTTCATGTCCTGCAACTTTATAAAATTCATCCAAAGATAATTGACTTCCTACAAAACTCGATGCAACACTGGACCACGACATTAAATATCAAAGGACACTCCAACACAGAAACACCTAAAATCCCGATACGCCGAGGCATCTTTCAAGGTGATGCGCTTAGCCCACTATGGTTCTGCCTAGCTCTCAATCCCCTTTCTCATATATTGAATAAATCCCGTCTAGGTTACACCATCACTACACCTCAAAAACAAACAAACCTTACACATCTCATGTACATGGACGACATAAAATTATATGGAAATGACATAGAGTCACTACATTGCCTAGCAGACATTACACAAGCTTTTTCAAACGACATTAATATGGAATTTGGAATTGATAAGTGTAAAACTTTTTCAGTAATTAATGGAGAAATTACTTCGAGCACCTACATGCTACAGACAGGAGAAACAATTGAACCTCTAGAACCACACAATTCATACAAATATTTAGGATTTCAGCAAGACAGACAAATTAATCAGAACGTAACAAAAGACACTCTTAAACAGAAATTCAAACATAGGCTTAATATCATACTCCGTTCTCAACTCAATTCACGTAACCTAGTTAAAGCGATCAATAGCTACGCAATCCCCGTTCTAATCTACTCTTTCGGTATAATAAGATGGTCCAAAACTGAACTCACGAAACTTCAACGCACTATAAACACGACATTAACAGCTCACAGAAAACACCACCCTAGATCCTGCATACAACGATTAACCCTCCCGCGAGAGGAAGGCGGACGGGGTATAATAGATGTTTCCAATTTACACAACAGACAAATCACATCACTCAGACAGTACTTTCAGCAACGATCACAACACTCTACACTACACGAAGTTGTAACGCATGCAGACAGACGCTTCACCCCACTTAATTTAGCAGATCAAAATCCACAATGCAATGAACGTATTATTGAAATCAAGGAAAAGGTTACCATATGGCAGCAGAAATCCCTACACGGCAGACATCGCCACGACCTGCAGCAACCTAACGTCGACATAGTTGCGTCGAACGAATGGCTGCGGCGTGGAGATCTGTTCCCTGAGACAGAAGCATTCGTGACAGCAATCCAAGATCAAGTCATTGATACGCGAAACTACCAAAAGCATATAATACGCGCACAAAATCTGCCCTCAGACGCCTGCAGACGCTGCCATGCCTGCCCCGAAACCATTCAACATATAACCTCAGCTTGCAAATCTCTTGTTCAAACCGATTACAAACATCGACATGACCAAGTAGCCGCCATAGTACACCAACATCTTGCTCACAAACATCACTTTATAGACAAAAAGATACCTTATTACAAATACCAGCCAGAGACAGTACTAGAAAATAATAACCTTAAAATATACTGGGACAGAACCATCTTAACGGACAAGACCATTCATTTCAATAGACCAGACATAACACTTCACGACAAAGTAAACAAAATTATATACCTCATAGACATAGCAGTACCGAACACCCATAACGTCCAATCTACAATAGCTGAAAAACTAACCAAGTATCAGGATCTAGCAATAGAATTGAAACGGCAGTGGCGAGCAGTAAACATCCATATAGTTCCAATAGTCATATCGTCAACCGGAATAATACCTAAAAGCCTTCAACGTAGCTTAGACATTTTAGAAATGCCACAACATTCCCTACACCTACTCCAGAAAGCGGTTCTATTGAACACCTGCAGACTTACACGGAAATTTCTCACCACATCTTCAGTTTCATCCACATACACCATTACCTAAAGTCTGATTACACTTGGCTATGGCCCGTGAAATTAGATAATTATACCCCTTTCAAGGAGATTAACAAAATCAAAATATATAATAATAATAATAATAAACATATATTTGCGAATATGGGTACAATAGTAAAGTTGTTACAAAGGTAATTTTCGTTCCTTCATATTCCACCTTGTGGCATGCAAATATTTCAATATACTTTTGTTTATATTACAATTTCACTAAAACATTTCAAACATAATCTAGACATAATTCATGAGTCACGTCTATATAAAAATTACATAAAAAAAAAAAGTTAATGTCAAAAAGTTAATGTTAAAAAAAACCTTTCAAATAAAAACACCTTTTTTTATGATATAAGGGGGCAAACGAGCAGACGGGTCACCTGATGGTAAACAACTACCGCCGCCCATGGACACCTACAACTCAAAAGTCACAAGTGCGTTGCTGCCTTTGGAGTCCCTTTGGACTCCAAAGGCATCTGGGATATGGGCTCCGGTAACCTCACTCACTCAGTGAATTGCTTAACACCGGTTTTCTGTGAGGCCGTGGTATCACTCCAGTCGAGCTGGCCCATACGTGCCGAAGCATGGCTTTCCCATGGCAAAAAAATCTTTTTTACATCTTCTTGTGTAATATTTTTTTCTAATACACAGGTCCTCGTCAGCAGCTAAATCAAGCCACAGCTTTCATAGATGCATCAGTAGTGTACGGATACTCTGAGAACACAACCGTCATGCTACGAACTATCACGGGGGCCCAACTGCGAATGATGAAGGTTGGGGGTCGGGAGCTGCTGCCTGCCTCTACTGACCCACACGACGGCTGCAATAATGCAGCTATGTATGCAAAGGGCCGTTACTGTTTTGAATCAGGTAAATATAAATTGAATTTTGGTATTCTAGTAGAACTCATCATTATCAACAGCCTTTACTAGTCCACTGCTGGACGTAAGCCTCTTTTTAGAATGGAGGTTTTGGCTATACCACACTGACCAGACGGGTTGGTATAGGGTTTGTGTCAAGTTTTCCTTCTCTTTGCAGTGCTGTTGTCACACCCACGGGATGAATAGGGGTAGTGACACTGTATTCTTAATCCGTCACCACACGGAGTGTTCACTACTAAACTATTCACTGCAGGGAAATGTTATCAACCCTTAAAATATCTGATGATCGACTAGATTGCCCGGATTGAAGTCACAGACTGACTGATATGTATGCTAATACATAATTTTATATTATGGAATGCGGATATTAAAAATTAGATACTAAAAAAAGCCGGCTTAGACCAAGCTGAGGCTCATGGGCCAATTAAAATTGTATCATCATCATCAACAGCCTTTAATAGTCCACTGCTGGAAATAGGCCTCTCCTTAGAAAGGATGCTTTGGCCTACTATACCACTGTTTATACCACTATACCACTGTATATACCACTATACCACTGTATATACCACTATACCACTGTATATACCACTATACCACTGTATATACCACTATACCACTGTATATACCACTATACCACTGTATATACCACTATACCACTGTATATACCACTATACCACTGTATATACTATACGGGTTGGTATAGGGTTTGTGTCAAGTTTTCCTTCTCTCTGCAGTGTTGATGCCCTGCCTAGTTTACTCACTTAGTCGGCTCTTACGACACCCACGGGATAAATAGGGGTGGCGATACTCCGTTTTCTTAATCCGTCACCACACGGACCGAAAATTTGTAAACAAAAGCAAAAAAAAAATTCAAATTAAAATGCAGATTTTGCAGAACAGGGGCTGCCGAGGGCGCTGTTAAAATGGGGTCACGTATGCTGTTAGGTAAACTTATATATATGATGATTCCGGTAATAATTTACGTCTCTAGTCAGATTGTTTTAAATTCTGCTAAATAATTTTTTTTTTAGGTGACGATCGAGCCAACGAAAACCTGCACTTGACCACAATGCACCTAATCTGGGCTCGCCAACATAACCGCATCTCCGCTATCCTCCGTGAACACAACCCTGATTGGGACGACTACACCGTGTTTGAAGAATCCAGGAAGATCTTGGGCGCCCAGATGCAGCACATCACTTACAACGAGTTCCTTCCTAGTATACTTGGTAAGAACAGTTATTAAATCATCTACATAAATGATCTATAGAAAACATTATATTTAAAAATAAAAATTGTAAAAACTTCCACATAATTTGGATCTATAGTCATAAATAATAATTTGATATCGGCCCAACATTTTATCCGTAATTTACGAAATTTAGGAACCACCTGCTTTTGATCTTCCTTTATACTTTTTGAGACGTCATCATCAATTTCCTCCTGTTCATCAATTAGTGTCTACGGTTGCATTGTTTTAGCTCAGCACTGTCTCCCAAAATTCGGGTCTCAGTCTAGTTTGGGTTTAGGAATCAGTAAATCCAAGTATTGTGCTAATTCTGAGTCATAACATTGAGATTTCACACATTTTGTGACATAAAAAAAACATTAAAATTTTATGTGAGGTCATAAATGTGTATTTTGGTGGTTTTTTTTTTTTATAACCGGACCCTCCCTGACGCCAAGCCTGCTTGGGATTGTTGTAACGTCGTTGTCCTGTTCATGGACAACTCGGGACCATCTATCTGGGACATTACTAATAACTGTTTGCTTCTGTTTCGATCTGCAAACCATCTGATAATCCGTGTACTTTTCTGCACTTAGATGTGTATATAAAATTTCACGATACTATTGGTGGAATATTTAAGACGTTAACAAACTTTAGTAGTTATTATACCACTTAAATAGCTTACCGGCGTGATTGACGTACTCCTAGGTGCAGACGCGATGTTTGCCCTAAACATGACCCTGCAGAGCGAGGGTTACTCTGACGACTACGACCCCACGGTGGACCCCTCTATCGCCAATCACTTCGCAGCCGCTGCCTTCCGCTTCGCCCATACACTCCTGCCTGTAAGTTACTATAAATTATGTATTGATGTTTAAAGTGTGATATATTTAACGTAGTGTAGGACGCCCACAAGCCAGGTGGGGTGACGATTTACGCAAGATGGCTAACAGGAGCCTGGCTGCGAGAAGCCCAAAATAGATCTAAGCAATGGGAGAGGCCTATGTCCGGAAGTGGACTGCGATGATGATGATGATTTAAAGTGGACTTAAAGACCACGTAAAGTCTATGGATGAGATATTACTCTGACCACTTAAAATGCATAGCGAATACCTTGATTCCTAGTCGAGAAAGATAATAATTAGACTGGAGCGCAATAAAGTGAAATATTGGAACATCGAGTTTAGATTAATCGATTCCTTAATATTTAGTTACCAAATCCAGATATTTTTAATCCCTTTCGTCTTTTTCTGGGCCTATTTTAATAGTAAATTCCCATGAAATAAATACACGGTGTAAGGGACATCGTAACGAATACTGAAATAGTGTATTGAGACCGTCATTCTAAAAACATTGGAATTTTCTGCAGGAAAATTATACTTTTTTGTGCCATCAACTATCAAAGGTCATTCCCCGTAGGTATTGCACAAAAATAATAACTACATGTGTATTCCGTGCAAACAGTCTACGCACACCAACACAAGTTGGCGGCCGGAGGAGAGGCCCCGCGCGCTTTGGCTGTTTGATTAATTACATTGTAGTTTTTGACCGTATTATATAATGTTATTCATAATGTCATTAATGTTCTGTTAAATTATTGTGATATCATTTTAAAAGAAAAAAAAATGAAAATTATTAAAAGAAATGAATTTTCCGGCAGAAAATTCCAATGATTTTCGACACAGAATCATGGTCTGAATACCTATGCGTTACGATGTCCCTTACACCCTGTATTTTTGTTTAGTTCAATGAAAGTTTGAACTAGGTTCTTTAGTGAGGTCATCTTTATGTAAATTATTTGACTCCAAAGATGAACAACCTCGATTGATTCACTGAGATGTTGCTTATATCGATTCTATCCACTGAGTGGGTAAAATAGTAGTGGTATCATTGCAGGGTCTGATCCACAACACGAACAAGGCGACGGGCACGGTGCAGTACGTGCAGCTGCACCAGATGCTGTTCAACCCGTTCGAGCTGTACGCCGCGAACGGCTCCGAGAGCGCCATGCGCTCCGCCCTCGACACGCTCGTGCACGCCGTCGACCCGCACGTCACCAGCGAGGTACTGCAACACTCTTGATAGTTTTTCTTTCTCTCCCTCTCTCTCTCTCTCTCTCTCTCTCCCTCTCTCTCTCTCTCTCTCTCCCTCTCTCTCTCTCTCTCTCTCTCTCTCTCCCTCTCTCTCTTCATAAATTCCAAATTATTTTTGGCTGAGTGCCAGCACTTTTTAAACGTCATTTTTTACATAAAAACACCCAACCCGTCACCACAAGTATTTTATCTGTGCAGAAGATACGGTGGAACAAACTTCCCAGAAACTCATCAGTCTGTTAAGTTGGGCGAAATGGAATTTATACACTATTATGCCATGAAATGGGAACCTGAGGCAAAATTGGTTATGGAAATCCATTCATACACTGACGTTGTTATGCTAGTATACATTTTATGACCGGTCTCTTGATCCAGTGCAAGGATGCCTAAAGTTTAGGATTCCCCTTGGGTCGATATCAATTTCCCAGGGGTCTACATAAACGAGAACTGATTTTGGGGCTAAAGAAGTTCTAAAATCGACCCCCATTAATAAACACAAGTTCTTGTTTGAAACTTTCAAGATACTGGATTAATTGTGTTACGTGTGCCAACTCGTTATAAGAATAACTAATATTTTCGTAGGAAGTACCATGTACCTTCTAAAAACTCAACAAGTCGATAAGTGCAAAGTAATTTGGCTATGGGGGTCTAAGGTATCAGTTTATTTTAGAAAAGAGTATCTTGCCCAAAATAGTCTGGGAATCTTACGCTTACCACCGCCTCATGCCGCCCTGAGTGTGGCTTCAGGTAGACGGGACGGGTTTTCCCCTCCACCCGTCATAATGGCCAGCCGCGAGCCGCGAGTCCGCGTGTGCCGGACGTCGCCGAAATGGAGAATGTACCCGAAGGTGGTGCCCGCGCCGTTGCGGGCCGGCGCTAGGAGGGGTCTGGATGTCTTAACAACAGCTGTTCCCGGATCCCTCCTGTTACAGGCGCAGAGTGGCACACCGTGTGGTTTTAGTCGGTCCGAGTCCGACACACCACCCCGCCGCAAACCCCGGTGGGGTGACGGCCCGAGGGGGTTTCCAAACGTAAAAAAAAAGTGGCTAGTAATCCTGGCTACCAGAGATGGGGTTCTATTCCAAACAATAATATGTGAGATGTATCAATTTTTTTTTTATCTTATCGCATCCAGCTCAGCGAACATCTCTTCGAGCAGCCAGTAGCAGCTAACGTTTCATCAGCCACGAAACTAGGCCCTTGCGGCTTAGACCTCGTGTCACTGAATATACAACGAGGCCGAGACCACGGCCTACCTCCCTACCCGATGTGGAGAGAGCACTGCGGACTATCCAGACCAAAGAATTTCACAGACCTTCAGGAAATCTTCGATGAATCATCTTACAGCAGGATTCAAAACATTTACCGGTTAGTAAAAAGCCAATCTCTTCAAAGCCAAGTCTCGAGATCAAGATTTATAGACACTCACCTTGGACCTTGGACTGGCGTTCAAGTTGAAAGTCGCTCAGCATACGACGCTGAATGTTGATGGCTGACAGCGGATGGATGTGGACTCCCCAAGGCCTGAATGGTTGGCGCTCTTTGGGGGGAGGCCTATGCTCAGCAGTAGACGGCAATTAGGGTTAAGATTGAAAATAAGTATTTTAATACCATATTTTTTAATTATTTATGGCATAGGGGACAAATGAGCAGACGGGTCACCGATGGGAAGTGACTATCCCCGCATGTGGACACGTGCTATTCAACAAATACACGTTGCCGTCCTAATAGCCGCTACCCCTCTCCCGTCAAGGGTTAGGTGAGGACGGGTTTGGCTTCTTGTGCACCCTGAGTGGGAACCCTCAATGAAAAGCAACGAGAGAATTGCCTAAAACCGGTTTTCTGTGAGGCCCTGGTATTACTCCTGTCGGGCCGACACAAATGGGCCACTACCATCTTCCCCCCACCCCCCAATATTTGTGACTGTAATAAGTGTTAGCCTCATACCGAGTCGACAGGTCACTTCCCTCCTTGGTGAAGACCTCCTGTCAGATCTGAAATTAGTCAGCCTAGTCAGAACATATCTTTAAAGAACACCATAGATGTTTATATCGTTGTGTGCACAGTTCTGTGGACGACATAGACCTGTACACGGGGGCGCTGGCCGAGGACCCCAAGGGGCGGCTCCTGGGGCCGACCCTCAGCTGTCTCATCGCCGACCAGTTCCTGCGGCTCAAGGTTGGGGACAGGTTCTGGTACGAGAGCTCCGACCCTACCATTGGTTTTACTTTAGGTAAGAACATAATATCATTTCATACTAGCTGCGCTCGCGGTGTTACTCGCGGTTTATCCCATGGGACCACAACATTCTTTCGGGATAAAAGCATGAAGTGTATTTAAGCATGAAGGACATGCTCAAACGGCTGGACCAATTTTGCCAACACAATCCCAACAACCAACCATTTAAAGATTCCATGTGGTGACGGATTAAGAATACTTAATGTCACCACCCCTATTCATCCCGTGGGTGTCGTAAGAGGCGACTAAGGGAGCAAACTACGCAGGACAACAGCACTGCAAACAGAAGGAAAACTTAAAACAAACCCTATACCAACCCGTCTGGCCAACTTGGTATAGTAGGCCAAAACCTCCTTTCTAAGGAGAGGCCTATGTCCAGCAGTGGACTATTATAGGCTGTTGATGATGATTGATGAACCATTTAAAAACTTTATAATATTAGTGTATTTTTTTTACAAACGACATAAATCAAAAATGACAAAATTTTATCTAGCCTGTTGGTCTAGTGGTGATCCTGACTGCTAAGGCAAAGGTAGTGGGTTCGATGCCCACCTTTTTTTTTCCGTGCGGAAATCCCCTCGGATACCAGGTGGTATCCGAGGGGAGTCGGTTCGAGTCCGACATGCCACCGATAGGTGGCATGTCGGACTCGAACCGACTAAAACCGCACGCCGTCTCGGGTACTAATAGCCGGGGAACCAGGTATACCCTAGAAAGGAAGTCCCTGGTGCCCCGACATACCTCGGGCCATCTACAACAACAGGTAGACGACCCCTCCCCGTGTGGGAACCCCATGTTCCCTGTGCTCCCTGGAAGCGAGCGCGCTTCGCAACGCGCTCGCCGCCACCCCGGCCTGCTTCTGCTAGGGTGACAGATGGCCTCACCTGTCACCCCCAGGCCTGCGTTCGATGCCCACCTAGGACAAATATATCATGATGAATCGTAATAAACTGTATTCTAGATTTCTTAATTTTAAACCCGTGGTACTTTTTTCCGTCCTTGGAGAGCACGGTACGCCGTCGGTACCAGTTCCCATACTAACATCTGTGGCAATCGTTACCAGAAGTTGAAGGCCTAAAAAGTCCGACCACGGTCTTTCCGCGATTCTGCCATACATATTATAGAAATCAAATATAGCTCACGTAGGACCCGTAATATTTTGTGGCCGTGGTGCTTCCCTGTTTAAAAGGGTGTATGCCTATTTTACTTCATTTTGTCTCTCGCTTTGCTAAGGAGGGAAGTAGATTTACTGTATTTCCAACTCCTCCAATTTTATTCTGATTAATTCCGTTGCGGGTTCCAAGACAGTTTAATTCTTCCTGGGACTTCCCGAGTGTCATAACTCGGTGTGTTCGTGGATCACTGCTGTGGATCCTGGTGTACAGGAGTTACAGTGGTGGGCGTGTGGGTGGAATTAGTCCCAACAAAAAACAGTCTTTCTACAGAACTTCGAAATCGCCTAGGACTTGGGTTGTGGAGGTCTGATGGCAGTCGCTCCACGTAAAAAAATCGAAGTTCAGACGTATCGCAGTAGAATTAAAGACGACCCCAACATAGTTTGGGAAAAAGACTAGAAGGAAGAAGGGTTGGTATTTATTCTTCAAATTATCAGAAGAAATTTGTTTGATGTAACAACTATTCTCTTCTTGAAAAGAATAGAGAGTATTCAAAATGACTACCACAAACCATAATTTGTTTCTCTCGAACAGAGCAACTGGCAGAAATCCGCAAAACTACGCTAGCGAGCGTGATCTGCGTCAACGAAGGGCTCCTTGACCAGGCCCAGCCCAGGGTCATGGAAGCCATCAGCGCTACCAACCCTCTCGTGGACTGCAAGGAACTGCCACAACCAGACTTCACACCCTGGTTCAACACTTCAACGGGCAGCTAAGTGCCCGAAAATAATTTATAGGAATTAAATGTATAATGCTAAGATTATTTTATGTGAATTCCATTTTTTTTTCTGTTAAATATACGAATTAAAAAACTACTGAGGATTTTATATACGCCGTTATAGAAAAATAAACTTTAATCATAGCTAGAGAGAATCTAGAAAAGTTTGACAAAAGAAATGGACCAGATACTCAAAAATAAGAATTAAAAATGTAAGGTTTGATAATTTGTTATAATATAATAAAGAATTGATATTTCAATACGTGTTTCGACTAAACACCACTTTTATTTAGTACCAAATGATGATCACCTTTATCCAGTGGGTGTCCTAAGAGCCGACTAAGGGAGCAAACTACGCAGAACAACAGCACTGCAGAGAGAAGGAAAACTTGACACAAACCCTATACCAACCCGTCTGGCCTGCGTGGTATAGTATGCCACAACCTCCATTCTAAGGAGAGGCCTATGTCCAGCAGTGGACTAGTAAAGGCTGTTGATGTTGATGGCTGAAAAGACAATGAAAGGAGTGAGATATAGATTATAGGCATGGATAACTTAATGATGATGATGTTAACATCAAATCAATTCAATCATAACATCAAATATTTATGACACAAGTTTATTTTTATTTTTTTTAAGTTTGGAGTTGAGTTCCTACACAAATAACTTACGTCATACATTAATTTTTGACACCATTTTTTTTTCTACGTCCATAGGATAAAAAAAGTGCGGAAACAGTTTTTCGTAAATAATTCCGCAATGGTTATATGCACAATTTTTTATTTACCATACACAATTACACGACGTCATACACTAAATATCTGTTACATTCAAATAATGAAATTCGAACTTTTTCCGCTGGGGCAACACACACTATCTCTTTTATGAGAAATTAATGTGATCACAATAGTACTTGACTTATTTAATGAGTTACTTAAAAAAAACTTCTTGGTCTTTCACAAATTTAGTGGCAGTTTTGGCCCGATACGTTTTTTTTTTAAGTCAACTACCGCTTTACTGTACAAACATACATGAAACGGACACAAAGAAGACTCAGAACAACAATTTGAGGATCACACAAAGTGTCTCTCACACTTAGCCGCTCAGCGTAGTAGGAACCGTATAAACCACTACACATTCAGTGCAGTCATTTAACTTTCTCTACTTCTCTTCCACCACCTCTCCTTCTAACCATATTCTGCTTATAACGGTCCATCCGTCTATCATTTCTTTGGTCACTAGTTATTTAGCTAAGTGAATCTGGTGACGATACATGGGTGGAGAAATTCAGCAAACTTTCTACGATTCTGCTTTAACTGTAGTATATTATTATATTTATGACTATCCAAAAATAGATACACTCGTTCATTTTCCTGCCCTTGGTTGGTTTCTTTTATGGCTGACTGACGATAGCCAGCTGACCTTAAAAGAACCTCCTTAAGAGTGTAACCGTAATCAATTGAGAGAATGGAAATGGTCAAGAAACTGCAGTAGCTGCAAGAGGCAGGGGTCGCTATGTGTAAGACCGCACTCTGGAGGAAGGTCACTAGCACGTCATCAGCCTTTCAAAGTCCACTACTGGACATAAGCCTCTCCTATTGAACCACTTCTGCTTGATAATCCTGTTGGCTATGTGGATGACCGTGGTGCCATAGTACACTGAACGACTTTGAGCTTGTGGACCAGCCGTACCGTAAGTGTCCACGTTTCGGCTCCGTATGTCATGACGGGTAGGACGCACTCATTAAAGACACAAAAAGCTTAAATCTAAGCACTAATTGAAATCAATCAAAAAAAGAAAAATATTAAAAGGACATGTTTGAAAATGGAACTTAATCAATTGCAATTACCTCCAGGGGTTTATTAAACTTTTAAAAATTATTTAAAAAGCTATTAAACAAAATGATGAATCTCTAAATAATTTGTTTATATCCTCTCTAACGATAGTGGTACAACCAAAATCTAAATCTTGGGTAAATTTATGTTCGTTACAATTAAATGTTTAATGAATAATCTTTTAATCTAAATATTAATACTGTTATACACACACACTGCATAAAAACGTATTTCTTCATCAACGCCTGACAAAATTGTTATAGCTATGCACGCTCAACAATATTTGCTACACGATTTTATTTCCAAGTTCATACTTGGTTCATTTCAAGTTTTCCGTCACGAATAGGCTAGTTGACTCAATTTGAAAACTTGGTTAATTACATACTTTAATATCTATTTTATCCCAAAAAACCTATATTTTAAGTATTTTGTATTTAAAAAAACAATTGAAATTTCCCTTGAAAACGCTGAATTGTCATGGTGTCTTGAATGACGTCACAGTCTGGAAAACAAAACTGTTTACATCTCTGTCCAGTGTTAACTGAAACTGTATTAAGATAAGAAAATATGCTAAAAACGAAAAACAATAAGGAGTAACCTGCTCTGTTGTATGAAAACGTCAACAACAACAATGATGTTTTGCGTGGCGTGACGTAACACTTTCTGATTGGTGTTCTCTGTCACTTGACTTAATGCCTGTTTTATTCGAATTTATTTTAAAAAAATATTAATAATCTTTTATGAGAAATAGACTATTTTTTTCTTATCTATAGACTATCTCTTCATTTATAATTTGAAACCATAAACCAAACAATTTGTTATTAGTGGACACAAGCCTTTTACGAATATAAATTAATTCATCCGTAATAGTCTAACAATAATACCTATTATTAAAAGATCATACAATGAAAGAACTAGAGAAATGTTAAAGATTCTTTTAAAACTATGATTTAAAAGTCTCCACACGCAATTTTTTTAGAGTACCCACTGAACAGTTTTATGTGGGTTCGAAATGAGTAACATTCGAAAAAAAAACTGTTTTTTTAATTACTAGCCGCCTGCCTACTTAGGCATTTATAGTTTCCAGTCAGAAAACAGACAGACGGACAACAAAGTGATCCTATAAGGGTTTTTTCCTTTTTGAGGTACTAAACCCTAAAAAGGAAGAAATCACCGAACCCAAAATATTATTCACTTTTCGTCAGGCGCTTACAATGCGTTAGGGCTATTAACAAAATATACGGCAATGGGATTTCTACTCTTGCATTTGAAATGATAAAATCTTTAGACGTTTTAAATTAAACTACCTGCTCCGAAAAAGGTTCTTACCATATTATGGGCTGTTAAAACTGAGACATTAACTGCTCAGTTCAAACATGCACTATGGGGATAAATAATACTGCTGCCCCTGATTTGTATTCAAAGCCATGAGAAACCATTTGTTCAATAAACAATTAAATCATTTGAACCTACAGTCACGTATGATACTGTCATGTTCGAATAACTGCAAATGCACCAAGACTTCAAATAAAAGGTAAGTCGTCATTTATATTACTTTGAATTTTTTCTCCTTGTGTGGTACCCACAAGAATAATAATATGCTTTTTCTCCTAATGTCACAAATGAGGCGGTGAATCTTTTGTTTATTATTAGTTTGTACATATCTTTAAACTTCGATAAATTTTAAATTAAAAAGTTAAAAAACCCCCGACACACACCTTGGATTTGAAATTTGACAAATTTCAAATCCAAGAATTGAGGGAGTTGTGAAAAAATATATAATTCGCCATTTTGTAGCGGCGGCCATCTTGGCCCGATTTTTATCAAACATAGCTAAGAACACTCCCGACTAATTCACCTTTCCAACAAAAAAACAAAATCAAAATTGTTTCATCCATTCAGGAGCTACGATGACAGAGACAGACATGCACACACAGACACGTCAAACATATAACACCCCGTCGCTTGCGTCGGGGTTTAAAAATATAGACAATTATACTTACGTTATATTATAAAAACGATTTTTTATACATTTCTTACATAATTATAAAATCAGTTTTCCTCAGAAGCCAGACGGATTTGATGGTTCTCTCAGTTTAGCTCAACTAGACTAATTTAAAGGTACGAGCAGGGGCAGCCTTTGGGGGTGGCAAGCAGGGCCTCGCTCATGCAGCGGCCTCGCGCACTCGATTGCCCGTGCTTCATTTCTCCTGTCATTTTGACACGCTTCCAGTCGCACCTTTATTCATAAACTGAATTAACTTAGAATTTCAATATTGTGGGAAATCGCATTTAAAGTTTGACATTCATGTACGTGCGAGTTCGTCAAAAAGAGAACGACGATCTCTTATCTCTGCCATTTTCATGGTATCGAGTCGGCTGTTAGATTGTTCGTGTTCTACTGATGAAGTTGGTTTGGTATTTGTTGAAAACTCGAAAAACTTAAATTTTGAATTAATTCAGTTTATTATTAAAGTTGCGCAGTGTCAACTGTCGTCGGCTTATGCTTTTATGTTCGAGCAACATTATGTGTTGCGTTGCATTATATGTGTCAAGTATCATCACTAAAACGAATTCCATAAAGACAATAGCCTCGCAATGATCTACTCGCCCGGGGCCTCGCAAAAATCTCCCGCCCGGGGCCCCGCAATGATCTACCCGCCCGGGATCTCGTAATATCTAAGGCCGCCACTGGGTACGACCACTAGGCAATATCCATCTGTGGGTGTGAGTGAGACAGTGAGTTCTATTACCTACCTTCTTATATTTTTCTTCGGATAAACGGTTTGTCACTAAGATGAATTCTTCTTCTCCGTCGTCACACTCTTGTCAGAGTGGTCGTGGTCGTCATGACCGGAGCGGTGGCAAGCTTCACAATTTGTCGCCATTCCTCTCGTACCGTTGCTTGCCTCGTGCATTCGTGCATTCATGAATACTAAACAATAAAAAAAAAACAATTATCCAGGCACTATTGTGATTGATTTATTAAGCCCTTGCCATGTTTGATAAAGAATTAAAAACCAAACGCTTCTAAATATGAAAGCAGTTAAATGTTGCCATAACATTTAATTACACATAAAAAAGAAAACATAAATAATGCGGCTTCTAAAACGGGAAAAGCTTTACACCCACTATTACCTACTGTATAGTAAAATTGTTGTA